CACAAGAGAAGGCTGAGGGGGGACCTGGTGATCGTCTATAAACTCACTAGGGGGGACCAGAAGGGTTTGGGAGAGACCTTGTTTCCCCTAGCGCCTCCTGGCATAACAAGGAATAACGGCCACAAGTTGTTGGAGAATAGGTTTAGAGTAGACATCCGTAAGAACTACTTCACAGTCAGGGCGGCTAGGATCTGGAACCAACTTCCAAGGGAAGTGGTGCTAGCTCCTACCCTGGGGGTCTTTAAGAGGAGGCTTGATGCCTACCTCACTGGGATCATTTGAGCCCAGTTTTTTTTTCCTGCCCTGGCAGGAGGTCGGACTTGAAGATCTACAAGGTCCCTTCTGACCCGACTTCTATGATTCTATGATCTGTTTGGGGGAAAATTGCTCATTTGGAGTATCCTGTGGGATGGACCATGTTGTCAGTTCAGCCTCCTTTCCAAGATTGCTTTCCAGTCCAGGGCTCCACTACAGAGCCTTACGTTGTCTGTACCTGAGTCTGGCAGTTGCCTTGCACCGATTGCTGTACTTTGCAAGGAAATCGTTTCTGGTTTCAGCCTCCCTGTTTAAGCCTTTCTCTTTGCATGTCCTCGCTTGCAGGCCATGTGTGCAGTCTGGCATCTGCTTGTGCCTGTTTTGGGAGAAGGTTAGAGAGTTTCAAGATTCATGTTTTGTTGAAAACCTGATGGGAGGGGTGAGGGGGGAGATTGTGTGCTGTCAGCAATGTGGCAGGATCCTGCTGGAAGCAGTTAGTCCTGCTTGGTGTAGACTGGCTCATACTGGTCTCTGATCCATTGCTTACAGTAGTATCACAGTGCTGGAAGGGCCAAGTCCAGATAATTGGTAACCCAAGGAAACCCCCAGATCACCGTGCCAAATCCTCACCCACTGCTATGAGACCTGGTACCCAAAATACCGCCAGCACTTTACAGCGTGGTGCAAGTAGAAGCAAGTGGGGACCAGGTCTCTGTCAATGCCCAGCTGCTGAACCGAGAAGGAAGCATTGGCTTTGTATGTGCTTAGAGGATCCTAGGAGACAGGGAGGCAAAACCCCAGTCTGTGCGAACTTGACCCAAGGCAAACCTGGTTGACAAATGGTGTGATCCTTAATGGAAGGATGTCCTCCAGCCAGGCCCTTCTGGGTTTTCCAGGTACCAGTAAGGAGCACACCTTGTTTGCCTTGAGCTCCATGTACAAAGAAGTTTCTTGGTGAATGGCAGCTACAGCACTACAAATATTGGACGTGGAGTTGCAGGGTAGGGGACAGCAGGTATCTGCTTGGTTGCTAGTTCCTGGTTGCTGGCAAATTGTTGGTGTGTGTGTGTGTGTGTCTGGGAAATGAGCAAAATACACATTTCCCATAACCAATGTTTCTTGCCAGCACTAATGATTGCCCCCAGTCCAGACTCTGTTTTGATTCTTGGATGGCATCTGGAATCGGGTCAGTCAGCCAGCTTAGCTCATAGCCTGGAACCGCCGTATACTTGATATTTTACACACATGGGCATCCTCCTCTACAAGACCCAGGAGACCTGAACAGTGACTCACAGCCATGGCTTTTGTGCTGCTTATGCTCTCGAGGGTCCCAGCTCCGTGTTGCAGCTGGCTTTGGTGAAACACTATTTTTTTCCCTAAATTCAGATGTTTTTAAATTGTTTTGCCAGAAGCATGAAAATATTTAGCTTTTATGGTGCATCTTTCATCCAGGGATCTCAAGTTCATCAGGGAGTCATTACAACAGGGATGGGGAAGCCATCCTGACAGTCGTGGAGTAGGTTGACAAAGGAACAGGGGATAAAGGACTTTAGATCAGCAGCCCCCTGTTGTAATCATCAGAAACCAATCTGGCATCAGGATTTCTTATTAATTGCAGAGGTTAAAAGTTCATGGTGCCTTGGTAGCATCCAACATCATTTAAATCTACTGTTGGAGCAACAACTAACATTTTTTTGACTGGTCAGTCAGTGGTACCTAGTGGTTAAGCAAATGAATTACAGTGTTTGCTTTATGGCTTACATAAACCTCCTTCTATTTTCAGAAGCTTTTAAAAATAATAGGCTTGCACAAAAATGGCGGATCCCCTGGTGTGCAGTGGTATAGTGTAGTTCGTTAATGATAGCCAGCCGCCTTCCCCGTCTGGAGTCATCAGCGGGAGATCCTGAATCTCATACCAGATGGTCACGTGGAGTATGTCACCCTGAAGCTCTTCTTCCTCTACTATCTTTCAGAGCGGTGGTGGAGGCAGTTCACAGACTGGACCTCATTCTTGGTAACAAGGCAGCTTATCAAGAAGTGTTCAAGCCGGAGAACATCAGCTTGAGAAACAAGTAAGGGTCCTGTGTCCCGTCCCTCCCCTTGTTTTTATTATTTTGGCAAAAGTGTCAGTGATAGATCAGGGACTCTGCATGCAATTGCAGTCTAAATGAAGTCATCTCTTTGGTTACAATCTGTTCTTATAACTCTTAAAATACCTACATGGTGAAAATGCTTCATATATTTACAGTGAAATACATAGTAAGTTTCGAGGAGGAAAGCTTACTGAATCTGTATCTAAAGATCAAAAAAAAGTCGTCAGGGTAACAGAACTGCCCTCGAAAATCATTGTTTATCGGTGATGTCCTTAATGCAGTTTTATTCTGTGAAAGTCTTGCTGGGCGAGAACACTCGGCTCCCTGCCGTGGATAGTTATTGAGCTGCTTGTTTTGTCATTTCCCTCTCCAAAGAAGTGTTTTCCAGTCAGGCTGTGAAGTGGCTGGTAAAGGTTACCAGGCTGATTGGGGGAGTGCATCCACTGAGCCATTCTTGTGATTATTAGATGTCTCCTTTTAGCCGGAAAGTTTCTTTTACAGCTCTGAGCATGGTGCTTAATAAGGAACCCACATCAACTTCCTTTTTCCACATCTAGAAGCCTTGTAGCAGACTCTCCTGGCCATACAGTTTGCAGTGAATTGGTGATTCCGGGCCTCCTTCATCCTGATTATATGTGGAGCAGTACATTGGGGTGAAGTGTGGTTGTTCCCTAACTGATAAGCTGCAAGCAGCCTCATTACCTGTGTGCCCAAATACTTTGCTTCCTGCAGAGGAAATAGGATATATACAGCTTCTTCAGAAGACTGATGTGGCCTTTTTTCCCATCCTGCAGCCTGGAGGGGGCATCGCCTACCACCCTCTATTGCAGCTGGACACACAGTTATCTCTGCCCTTTGCAGCTGTTGCCTATCTGAAGTGTAAGCTAAACTGTACTGTCACTACATGGTCCTACTAGTCCTATAGTAGCAGTCAGACTCTCCCTTTTCTCTTCCCATAAGGCTAGAGGCATGGGAGTAGCTGCTGCTAAATGGAACTTTGCCTTCTGTAGTGGTGGGGGGGCATGGCCTCTACCCAGAACCTCTTGAGCATATACTGACAACATTTTATAGAAGCAGGATATTGGCTGCCACAATTCCCCTGCTTTACCTGTACCAGGTTAGGGTGTTAGGTTTATGCTGTGCCTGTGTTGAGCATAGTCTCATGTAGAGCTTAGATTATGGTTGTATGAAATGGTTTGGATAGGGATGATCCTGTCTCAGGCAGGGGGTAGACTAGATGACCTCTGGAGGTCCCTTCCAACCCTTCTTCCCTGTGACTTTTAACAGCAGCCTCTCTCCTCTGCTGTAGGTTGCGAGAACTCTGTGTGAAGCTGATGTTCCTGCATCCGGTAGAATATGGGAGGAAAGCGGAAGAACTGCTCTGGAGAAAAGTTTACTATGAAGTTATCCAGCTCATCAAAACCAATAAAAAGGCAAGTAACCCTCCTCGGAGCTGTGGCCTACACAACAACATTTGTCAGCTCCAGCTTTGAAGAGGTCTCATCCTCTACTAGATGTTGCTGTTCTGCCTAAACCCCTGTCTGTACCATACTCCTGATGGCTGATGACCAACCCCCCCCACACACGCACACCTACACACCTCGGTGCATGCCACATCTCTGCTGGGGGTTCTGCTGCTATGTCAGCAAAGTGCTGGGGCTGTCGCTCCATCTTGTAGACTGGCCTCGAGACAGAAATTCTGCAGCTGCCCAATAAGCAGGAATGTGCAAATGGCTGCATTGACATGGGGACATGATCTGATCATGAGACGAATCCGTGAGCTTCTGAATTTTAATCTTACCTTGGACATCGGCTCCCGGTCTCGCCTCAGGCAAATCAGTTATCATGATTTAGCCTCAGAGCCGCAGTGTCTCGAGTCAGGTTGCTTGCTTCTGTTTCCTCATCTCTAAAATTGGCATAACATCTCCTTGTGAAGCAGGCGTCAGAATCGATATTTGTAAGGAGCCGTATAATTCTGATTAAATTATTGTAGAGGAGGGCCAGAAAAGTCTCTGGAAATTCAAATTGTAACACCATGCCAGTGATGTTATCAGTTGACTGTAAAGCGAGCCTTGTTCTAATAGGAATTACCAGGCTGATCTTATCTAAAGGACTTTCTACTGTCGAGGGAACTGAGATCTCTTGGACTATCTTGCAGCTCAGGAGACTAAAAATCTTCACAAATGCTGGGTGAATGGAGGGCTGTGGGACCTTTGTGAAGCAAAGGGAAGCATTGCAAACAAGTATTCTGTTGCTGCCATTAAGTCTTAGTTTTAAGTTCAGAAACCTGAGTTTTGAGGCATTGTGATCACACAGATTGTCTCGGCAAACCTTGGAGATGGAAATAGAAACTAAGATTTCCCAAGTCTTGGTTCTATGTTTTAGCTACCGAATCGTCTTTCCCGTGCAGTGAAAAACACCTTTAGGAGTGACACAAAATGATAGTGCCAGTTTCTTTGAGTGCATCACAGCAGACACATCATAGTGAGTGTTAGTGAAACTACTCTGAAAGGAATGGTTTCTTTTGGAGCCCTTGTGTGTTGGTGGGGTGCACAAATACATATTTGTTTGGGATTTTGAGAGCACAAATTGCATGGGTATTATGCTTGTCAAGGTACAGGTTCTTACCTGTCCTATATGCTGTCCCACAACTGTAAACCAAATCAACTGAGTGAGGGAAAAACACTGCTAGTTTTTGGGGAGCAGAGTACTTCTAAGGAACAGGTTGCGTGTATTTCCAGAAGCCTATCTTCAGTTGCCACATAAGAATAAGGGTGTTGGTGGCTACCTGCATAATAACCTAATCAGTGCGGGGGGTAGTTTATAGACGTTAGAGATTGTAAAGGCCAGATGGATCATTCAGTCATGCCTGGCTATGCCTGTGTTCACTCCGTGATTGACTTCTGCCTCCTTGATGTTTACACCTATCAAGTGCTACTCAATATAGTGCACTAGAGGTTAGGTTGTTGAGAAAAAGAAAGATGCCTGGCTTGTAGGAGGCTGGCAAAAACAGACCCCGGCTAACTTGGTTTAGCTCTGGCCCAGTGTGAGCTGCCAGCAGGAATTTCAACCTGGACTATATTAACAGGTTCTTATTTTTGTTCCCTGTAGCACATTCACAGTCGCAGCACCCTGGAGTGTGCATACCGGACTCATCTAATCGCTGGCATAGGATTTTACCAACACCTTCTTCTCTACATTCAGTCTCACTATCAGCTGGAGCTGCAGTGCTGTATTGATTGGACTCACGTAACCGACCCCTTGATAGGTCAGTGCCTGTCATGCATCAGCTCTTGGTTGATGCAAGAACCATGAGTGGGTGACTCTGCCTCGCTATTACTTGTGTCTCTTAAGATTCGGGGAATTGTCCCTCCCTGATTAGCTCATTATTTGTTCAGAGCAGAGCTCCCCCTTGGTTCTTATTGTTCTGTTGAACTTCTGGTAATTAATGAAGGAAACATGACAGGGTAGAAAGTGCACTTTCTTGGAGTTAAATTGCTCCTAGAAGATCTGGTAAAATGTTCAGTCTCAGCTGATTTGTACAGGGCAGTTTGGAAAGAGCCCTCCTGCCTATGCAGATGACTTTAGTAAGTCTAATTAAAGTGGGCATGTAGAGTTTCGGGAGCAGGAAATATGTGAGAAATATTGTAAGACTAGTTTTTGCTGCTTACTGGGCAGTCATGATCCACAGGGAGCAGGACAGTGAGTAGGCTTAGGTCCCAGCTGATGCTACTCAGTTACTGCAAGGAAAGGACTTTTTTTCTTCATTTTGTCTTTCAAAAACAAGGCTTGTACCTTTTTTGGGGGCCCACTATATGTGAGAAAATACACTACTAGGTTGTTTCCAAGGTGCCTGTTCATTGGCTTGTCTGTCTCCTCCCTTGCCTCATTTGCTGCATTTATGCACTTTCTGCGCATATAGAGATCAGGGCCCTGACATACAGTTGAACCCTCTTGGGAAAACGTTTGCAGCCACATTAAACTCTGATGACGTTGAAGACATGTGGGACCAGTGACAGAAGTAGAGGATCTCAGTCACATTTGTGAGTTCTGAATGGAAGCAGCAAACTTTTTAAAGGAAAGAAAAATAAAAGTAATCTGCCTGGACTTTGTTTCTGCATGTCTAGCAGTCAAACCTTTTGGGGTTATGGTCCATTCTTAGCTGCCGGAAGAGTATTAGATCATGATTGGCTTTGAAGTGTCAGGGTAAAAGGTATACTGTGAGAGCCACTTCTTGGTTCTGCAACACTAATGCATCCTTGAACTTGTATGTCTTAAATTCTGGCTGGATTTTCAGCTTTGGATCAGCGGTTGGGCGGCTCCCCTCCTTCCTTAAGGTTTTGAGGGTGTTCCTGATGCTTGTCATGAAGATGCAATATTATGTGAATACAATGAAAGCGTAATGTTGCATCAGAAGTGGAAGATGTGGGCCGGTTTTGCA